AGACATATAACGATACCGAGCGGGGCTACGGACAGCCTCAACCTTGGGGCACCCCATTGTATTTTACCCCTTACTTCTACATGCGGTGCTCTGTAGAAGTGGACCGACTGTCCCTAGCGACTCATAGGAACACTATGAGATCTGATAACAATAGTAATAAAAACATCACCGGTGAAGCTGTGGGGAAACCCCCTAGCGACACTGGGAACAGTAACAATGAAAGTTCCAAGGGGCCAAACCCAAAGAGAACTACAGGAGAGGTGGCTGACACATGCGTGAGACCATTCTCCGCAAGTGGCATACAAGCTACCACCTCCTCCAAGGGTCGGGAGCCTACCTCCTACCTCTAAACCCAACAGGCGACACAAGCTACCGTTTCGTCTACCCGGCCTGGGTCGTAGCTCTTCGACTGTGAGGCACACGGGTCTCCGTAGGAAGTCCTGGGACTGTATGATGAGTTATAACTCAAGAAAGGGGGACACAATAGATCTCTAAGGTCGCCGAGATTAACCCCCCTCCCACTTATTCTAATTATAAAAGACTTTGAAGTATTTATTGAAATAGGCTATAAATATAATTGTTGCAAAAATTGAACTTATAGAGGTTTTCGAAGTAAGGAATCGTTTATCATATATTTTTTACGTAAAAACCGTCGTAAATGTATATTTTTTAACTCAGAAGTTTTATACAGGTACGGAAAAAAAGTTATTACTCTTCAAAACAGCTAAAACACATGTAGGTAGCGCCCCCTACAAATAGGAGTTATATTGACATCAAAATCAATTTTGTCATGTCAAAAAACTCCCAGACACCAATTTTCATCCAAATATTGACGTTACTTAAGAAATTATTTGGAAATCGAAATAAAAATGAAACTTCTACACCCTGTATCTCCGAAATTAGTTTCCTAGATTTTTTTTTACTACACCTACATTTATACGAACTTTATTACTTATTTTTGTCTGCAGAATATGCTGCCGAAGTTTCCGGAATACAGTTCGGACCACCCTGTATATTTTCACTCAGTATTTAATTAATTAATAACAAGTACGGAGGAAAAGTTATTACTCTTCAAAACAGTTCACAAATATGTAGATGAATGTAGGTGGACCCTATAAGTTGGGGTCATATTGACATTAAAATCCAAATTTCTCATGTCAAAAAATACCCAGACACCAATTTTCAACCAAATATCTATCTTAGTTCAGAAATAATTTGGAAAAAATCGAAACAAAAATGAAGTTTCTACGCCCTGTATATTATAAGCACTTTAGAACATAAATTTATGCGAACTTTTTCACTTATTTTTATCTACAGAATATCAGGATCAGTCTGTATATGTATATCACTCGGTATACGTGTTTGTCAAAATCACATGGTTGGACAGTAAAATTATACAAAAATGTAAGTACTTATTCACACGTTTCCGATAGTTTTCAGATTTATAACCTATCTTTATAAATACAAATATTTTTCTAACCAAATTGCAAGGATTTATTTTTACTTAATTAACTTATAATTATCCAACATAAGTATAATATTTTTCAGTTTAGCAGATAATCAAAATGGCCAAATAATACGATGAAAAATAGTTAAATATATAAAAATTGTTAAACACCTTACGTAAAAATCATGCCCTACGTAAATTAAAGTAAAATATCGTACTTACATCCTTCATTGACGGTTTCAAAACACTTTTAAGCACTTTTTTCACATTTTTCACTAAAAGAACTTCTTAATTATCCGAAAAGACAACAATCCAAACAACAATTAATCTATTTTTTGATAGCACGACGCGCGACTTGCTATGCGATGTTTACTTTTTCTCCGTCAGGTGAGAGCCAACTTTACCACAGTTTTTACCGATTCATTTAATTCGTCGTTCTTCAGATGGAAAAATTTGTATTTCTTTTACGTTCTATAATTGAAAAGTACCTATAGAATAATATTGTATATGTTATTATTATTTAGAGAAATATATGATTATAGCTCAAAAGTAGAAGTTTGTATTATATAATAATTTAAATATAAATATTATACAACAAAAAATATTTAAAATAAATAATCATAGGGATTAAGTTAATATTCTTTTTGTGTGATTATATTTAATGTATAATGTTACTATGAACTTTAATAATTATGAAGTTTCATTTTAATAGTATACCTACAGGGTGATTCACATCGATGGTATGTTGGACCTTTTGTGCAAAACCTGTTAACCGATTTTTTTGAAAATTTGGATTTTTACATAAAATCACGTGCTCTATCTACGTAAATTATTTTCAGCGTTACAGTGTTGCCGTTTCATTTAAAAAGTAGTACAATCTTTGTTATTTTAAATCGAACATCCAGTATATTATTGCATTTTTGGAAATTACTTTAATATCTATTAATTTTTCTGTTATACTATTCTATACCAATCTTTAATGGTTTTCGAGATAAAAAATAAGACATGTGTTAAATTGAGAAGAAAATTGATCCTGAATAAGCATTGGTAGAATCATGAATTGAATATTTTTTAAATAATAGGTTAAGAAAAGTCGGTATATTGGGTATGACTAAATCAATTGATAGGATATTATACAGGGAGCAAAAAAAAAATATTTCCGTTTGTTATAAAATTGCTCAAATCTTTGTTATGAGGGATAAAATCGCGAGTGAATTAATTTCGGGAGACGATAATGCAATTTTATCGCCGTGTATAATTTTTTTTCCATAGTTTTAAAAAATATTCAGAAATTATTATTTCAATGAATTTATCAGGAGTAGAAAAAATATTGTGCTGGGCTGGCGTTGGTTTCTATGTAATTTGACAAATAAATAAAGCTGTTCATTTAGTTGTCAGTTTTGAATCAGTATTTTTTAATTCTCTTTCGTGTCGATTGCTGATTGAATTGGAGCCGAAAATGGTTCAAAACGAAATAAGTAAATTACCAACAGATATTCAGGCTGAGGCGACAAACGCCATATGCAAACTACTTCCATTTAAATCCCGAATAACTTATGAAAAGGAATACAGAAATTTTCAAAAATGCCCAAGTAGCATTTGGACGTTATCTAACGTCGGGTATACGTCGCGTTCAATAAACCCGACGTCGGGTACCAACGTCGGTTCGACCGCCTGACGGCCCTTATTTGCACCTAAATGGGGAATACAGATTCGGGTCGCCTCGACGTCGGTATCTGACCTAATATGTAATGTAATTCTACCAATTACCAACGTCATATTACGTTGGATTTTAGTCACTTAAAATTCGTCGCTAAGCACTTACGTTACGTTTGGTTTCATATTCGCTACCAAGAATACATAAAAACCTAACCAAACTACCTAATTACAAATGGATTCATGATCACTCCTCGAATATATAAGTGCCTATATATAATATATAATATATAAGTGCCTATCTAATTTCATATTATAATAATTCTGAATCATTAATCCAGACATCAGTTTTGTCAACGGAAGTCACTTTTTTGATATATCTGATTAAAATACTCCGGAAAACAACGAGCGCCTTCAAAATTAGGTAGATTTATGAAATAAAAATATCTATAAAAAAGTTACTGGCAAAATATTTTTTTAATTTTCTAGCTGGTTTAATCATAAAACTGTACTGTGGTTCCCCCCAAACTCAACCTTATCAATATTATTCTACTAGAAATCGAAATGTGAATATAAATTTTAAAAACAAAAAAAAATAAAATGGCTGACAATCGGATACGTGTTAAGAATGGCGGATTTCTGTGTCCGACTAAATATGAACTACCAATATACCAATTCCGACCGGGTCTCCAACATTAGTCGTCTCACACGACCGAAGTCATCAAACCGGACGACCGGCAATCGTATTATGACGTATATAATCCCAACGTACGCCACGTAACCTCACTTTGCGTATCAGTGATTTGTGGATTTGTGCAACTATATTTTAGTTTTTGTTTTCTCCTTAAAAAAATGGGCAGCCACTTTTTTAAGCCTAACCTCACATGTGGGAGGAGGATGGGGTCTGCTGGTTTCCTAAGCTAAAAAATGAAATTAAGATGCACCAGTGTAATGCAGCATCTCTTCCGGATAAAAATCATTTATGAGTGGAGGCAAGACATCACTACTACTATTATTATTTTGCAAAAGCCTCGACCTCTTTCTGCAAAATGTAGATGAATGTCTAAATGCCTTTTTAGTGTTTTTTTAGGCATAAGTTTGTTTACAAAAACTTTTTATTAGGTTATATTCACGATGTTCATTAGGTCGCAAATGCTACTTAATGGGTTGTATTTACGGACGTAAATAGAGATACGTAAATTAGGTTATAAATATGAACATAAAATACAACAAAATATAATTGGACGTTACTTTAGGAATTATCAGTGGGACGTATCCTATTCGGACAACGGGTAGACGTCGGGCTAGTTCAAGTATATGTACGTCGTGCAAGCCAACGTGGGAACGACGTTGGGAAATTAATAAAAATGGTACGTTGTTATTTTGTATGTCGACAGATCGTTGGATTTACCGACTCGGATCCAACGACGTCGCTTTTAATAGGAAAGCGACGTCACAGTTCGTATCACCAGCACCCGACCTAAATTTGCACAAGTCTGACGTCGCTTCAGGTCAGATTTAGTTCGAAGTCAGATAGATGCTACTTGGGTGGAAGCAATTAAAAAACGTCCGAGAAGAAAAACCTATAACCTATTTTTAACTTATCCTCGCTATTAAAGTATCATTTAATCTACCCTTGCGGTTAAAGTACTATTTTATCTACTATTTCTGATAGATACAAGACAATTTTAACAGTTGCTATGGAAAAAATAAAATTTGTGAACAATTTCCTTAATAAAATTAAATTTCTAAATCTAGATCTTCATAGATTCTATAACCTCATTCTTTTTGAAGTCAACCATTCTCCTTCAGACCATTTCAAAACAAGACCTCTGCCCTTTTCTCGTCAGAAATCCCATCATTAAACTTCAAAATTAAAAAATGGTTCTTGTTTCAGCAAATGTTACCTTCACGCCGGGCATGGAACCGAAAAGGCAGAGGACGGCCTACACCCGGCACCAGCTCCTCGAATTGGAGAAGGAGTTCCATTTCAACCGGTACCTGACCCGGAGGAGGAGGATAGAGATAGCGCACACGCTGGTGCTGAGCGAGAGGCAGATCAAAATATGGTTTCAGAATAGGTAATTATATGTTTTTGGTTCGGTTCTATGCTAGGTCACAGCTAGGTAATCCAAAAAGGCCTTACGAAATTTTCGAATTCTGTTACCTAGTTATATTATTAGGTCCCTTAAGTTATTTATTAAATCTTAAGAGAGTGCTTTAGAAATGCACAGAAAAAATAGTAAATGGAGAATAAATACAAACTTAAGAGTGAGAACGCATTTAATTATTGGAAACAAAACAATAATTATAATTAACACTAATTGTACACTCAGATGCAAAAAACGCAACGGTGAAATTTTTGGTAAAATTTTAACGTGTTGTATTTTTGTTATTTTTAGCCTTGTTTTCATGAATCTTTTAGCAAGCTGTATATAATTGTATATGTGTATAATTGTATATATATTATATCAACTTTAATACGTAAACTCAGTTTTATGTAAACTTTAGTATTTGCCATATTATACAGGGTTAATCAAGGGGTTGTTTTTTTACCCTAACTTTAAAACACCCTCTGCTATAATTTTGTGTGCAAATTTTCCTAAAATATAATTTTACGGTGAGAACTATGTCTCTTGAGCATTTTGTTTTTTGGATCATGTCAATACATGCTTTGGTTAATTTTTAAGAGCAAAATGAAATTGCCGCCGCATTTTTCAATTTTCATTTCTTTTTGAAGCTATTTTTCAATGTGACAAGGTGGCTTTGGTGATTATTGTAAACTATATAGGGTGTTTCAAAACAAATGCGAAAAACTTTCGGGGGTGATTTCTTGTTCAAAATAAAAGGTAGTTTGCTTATCAATAGCTATCATTATTGTTAACGAAATTTAAAGAAAAATCTTATCAAACACATACAAAAAAAATAATTTGGATTGCTTAGTTTGTTTAGAAACTTTCTTATCTCTTATATTTTTTTGATAAAACTCACCGATTTGAAATTAAAAAATAAAATGTAAAGCATTACATGTCAGGACTCCTTTTTTTACGCAATTAAATAGATCATAAAAAGGCTTCGGAATAATTAATTGATCGTAAGATAATAACGTATTGCAGTAGAGTAATGTCAAATAAAATAATATTAGAAACATCCTAAAAAGTGATAGCGGCCGACTAGGTTTTTTCCTAAAAAAATAAAGCAGCCCACTAGATTCTTTATCTAAAAACGTTTTTTGTCTTGACATTTTTAATTTCAAATCGGTGAGTTTTATCAAAAAACACAAGTTTTTTAAAAAGTTTCTAAACAAACTAAATTATCCAAATTAATTTTTTACATGTGTTTGATAAGATTTTTCTTTAAATTTTGTTAACAAGAATGATAAGGGTAGTTTATTTCAACCCCTTCCACTCATTTTAAAAAAGTGAACAAAGTACCAGAAAGTGTGTTTTCATAACAGTAACGCTTCCATAAAATTTCATAAGTTTAGCTCTTTTCGTTAAAGATAAAAAATGAAAACATTATTTTTCCGCCATCTTTGTACTGCGATATCTCCCCAATGGTTGACTTTTGACCCAACGTTTATGAAGCAAACTACCCTTTATTTTGAACAAGGAATCACCCCCTGAAGTTTTTCGCATTTGTTTTGAAACACCCTGTATACTACTATGAACTGCCCATCATGTTCGACGTTTGGCAAATGCTTGGCAGGAGGGTTAGAGATCGCGAAGCATCATTAAATTGAACGGACTACAGTAACGGTACTTTAGTATTACAGATGTTTTCTTTAATATCGTTAGTTCTGTTATCGTTATTAATGTTTATCAAAAGCCGGACTGTATTGTTAGTGTTTAAGTTTTTTAATTTAGTATAGAGTATCCAATGCAGTGTAATATGACGACAATACATCTCGTCATATCGTCGGTGAAATGTGATAAACTGCTAACTCCATTATTCCTAATTTTACAGGAGAGCAAAAAAACGGCACAAAAAAATATGTAGACATGTAGGAAGTATTTTCATGCGTTAATATGATAAAGAGATAAGAATTTTATTCGCTGAGAAACAATATAACTGAATATTCCGTGTTACATCATTTTTTTCAGACACAATAGGGAGATAGCAGATATTCGTCTTGCAGAAATAAGAAATAAAAATATACTTCTGGAGATAGCAACCTTTATTGTTTGAAATTTTAAAAATGGAATTGAATATTACCCAAACAGATTTAGAAATAATCATAAAATTAGGGCTAAAAATAACAAAAAAATATAACACTTTAAATTTAACCAAAATTTCTTCCGTTGCGTTTTTTGCATCTGAGTTTTTTGCATCTGAGACGATAGACGATAGAACGTTTTCAGACACACAAATCTAGTCCTTTTCTAGGTTTTTCAATCTCAGAAAAAAAAGTATTTATAAAACAGAAACATTTTTAACTTTAATAGTTATAACTTTTTACTAAAAACCTTCCTATTTTCCTTCTCACAGACGGATGAAATGGAAAAAGGACAACAAGCTGCCCAACACGAAAAACGTGCGCCGGAAAACGAACCCGGCCGGCGTCACGACGACGACGCCCGGAGCCAACGGCGCCGGCGGCGCGACGCCCTCCGCCGCCTCTGGAGGCGGCAAGGGGGGCGGCAAAGGCGGCCGAGGGGGCAAGGCGCAGACTGGCATCGTTCAGCAGCAGCAAGGAGGGAACGATAAAAGGAAGAACAACGGATCGACGAGGTGAGTGATAATGGGGATGTTTTATAGGGAAATATTGGGGAATTGTGGTAGTGTGGATGGATATTGGGGATACGGAAAAAAGTGTGGAGTTTTTGATTGAGACGACTGCACTTCAGTCTGACAATAACAGATCTGAAACAACGGGGCAAACGCTAAGGGGATCGCAGTTTTCTAAAAATGGCTGATTTCAATCATAAGTAATATACAGGAGCGTGCGGTATTTTACGAAAATAGGTATATCAGGAATTTTTATATTTTTTTTTTAATTTTTATAAAAATAGTAATGTATGTTCTAAAATGCTTAGTTTCGGAGATACAGGGTGTAGAATGTTCATTTTTATTTCGACTTTTTTCAAATAGTTTCTGAAGTAACGTCAATATTTGGATGAAAATTGATGTCTGGGAGTTTTTTGGCATGAGAAATTTGATTTTGATGTCAATATGACTTCTACTTGTAGAGAGCGCCACCTGCATACTTTTAACTGGTTTGAAGAGTAATAACTTTTTATCCGTACCTGCATAAAACTACTGAGTAAGAAAATATACATTCACGACATTTTTTATGTAAAAAAGATATCTTGGTAAAAATTGCTACGAGTAATGGTTCTCGAGATATTTGGAATCGAAATTATCAATACCTGTCATCATTGACATAAATTAAACTTGTTGACTAAATAGTCATTAGACTGAAATGATACATTTGAAATATTTTTGTGTCAAAAGTTTAACCGAAACTGTTTTATCAAAATTCACAAAAAAAATCCCAAATTTTTTATTTCAGTCAAATAACTATCTACTCAGCGTGTTTATGTTTTGTCAATTATGACATGTATTGACTATTTCCATTTTAAATATCTTAAGAACGGTTGCTTGTAATGGTGCGTTTAGACTTCATAAAGTAACACCAAATAGAGTAATTTCATCAATGGGCAGCTGTCAAATAATGTTTAGAGACTAGTCCAGCCACTTGTGTCGCTACTGTCGCGATTTATTCCGACAGGAATGACAAGTGACGTGACAGTTGACAGCTGACGGCAACGACAAGCGAGGGCATGGCCAGGACGCCATCTTGACATTTTCATTTTTCATCCGCTTTTCGTCATTTATCGGCTAAGCGTAGTTGTGTGTGCTAGCGTGTTTTCCGAAGTATTTTCTTTGCTTTCTTTAATATATTAAGTTATATACTCTTAATAATGTCTGCGAAAAAGTGTTCTGTTCCTGGATGTATTAATGGAAAGCCTAAACGGCATAGGTTTCCGAAGTCGGATCCTGCCATTTTTAGACAGTGGCTTGTTAAAATCGACAGTGCAAAACTATTTTCAATGGACAATGAGACAATTTACCGCTTATGTAGAGTGTGTGACAAACATTTTACCCGTGATTGTATTGTGGAAGGAACAAAACGAGGTTTGAAACGAACTGCTGTTCCAACTTTATATTTACCAGGTAAGATAATTTAGAGATAGAGTACTTACATATTATTATTATATTATTATATTACGCCGGTTTTTTTCGATCATACGGTATATAGTGGGCACATTCAGTAAACACACCGGTTATTCCACCGGTGTGTTTACTGAATCCACCAGATAATTAAAGTGGATGCCAATGGGCGCAGTAAAAAACCTTGACAATGCTAAACATTTTATGTAATTGAGCAAATAAAGGATTTATTAGCATTATTATTATTCAGTATTTCAGTCAACACACCGGTGCAGAAAATTAAAGTGAATGCCAATGGTAACTCACCGGTTGTGGTCACCGATCACTTGAGAGCCTACCGTATTTTGTTTCTGGTTTATTTACGTACCGGTAACTTAATGGTTCAATGAAAAGTTATCGGTAGGTCTTTACAAGTTAATACCAGTGTGTTTACTGAATGCGCCCAATGGTAATTCACCGGTTGTGGTCACCGATCACTTGAGAGCCTACAGTATTTTATTTCCGGTTTATTTACCTACTTGTAACTTGATTGTTCAATAAAAAGTTGTCAGTAGGTCTTACCTGGTCTTACTGGTTAATGCCGGTGTGTTTACTGAATGTGCCCATTGATATTATAAAATAATATATAACTCTGCCAATTTTTTTGGATATACCTATTATAATTTAGCTGTCTCGATTTAAAAAGCTTTGGTTTTTATTTGAATCAGGATTCGGTTTAATATTAATTAATTTTTAAATTATTTAGCATCAAGATCAGCCAGCTGTGAGATAATCCCACAACCTGGGACATCAAGTGAGGGTTATGAAATTGATGTACCGAGCTCTATTCCAACACTTATGGATCATGACTATATAGCATATGAATCGCCTAAGACTGCTACAAAATCTGTTGCAAATACGAGCCCAATAGTTCATAAGACAGGATCAGCAGGTAATAAAAAATATATATAGACAGGGTGTTTCAAAAAACCTGCTATTTCTCGTGTAGATATTTCATACATAAAAATAAGACTTATTTTATATAATATTTTTATATCGACATTGGTCCGATTCTGCTTTGTTTCTTAGGTACAGACGGTTAACTGCTTAGTGTTTTTTTCAATTTATTACAATTTTCTTCCAATATTCTTCAAATTTTCCTTAATTAATTTTTAAATTATTTAGCATCAAGATCAGCCAGCAGTGATATAATCCCACAACCTGGAACATCAAGTGAGGATTATGAAATTGATGTACCGAGTTCTGTTCCAACACTTATGGATCATGACTATATAGCATATGAATCGCCTAAGACAGCTACAAAATCTGTTGCAAATACGAGCCCAATAGTTTATAAGACAGGATCAGCAGGTAATAAAAACAAATATATATATACAGGGTGTTTCAAAAAACATGTGCTATTTCTCGTGCAGAGATTTCCTACTTAAACATCCGATTTATTTTTATATCAACACTGGTCCAATTTTACTTTGCTTCAATGATACTGGGGGTTAATTTTTTTACTATACTTTTCTTCCAAGTGCTTTTTAGTGATTTCAATTAAATTTTGAGGGTAAAAGTTACTATAAGTGTGTCAAATTTTAATGCTAAAAAGTGTCAACATATTCACCAGCGACAGGCATATAGGTTATCACTGGAATATTTTTCTAAAAAAACGTGCCTTGCTTCTCTTGTTGGCAAAATAGTGTAGGCCCTTTTAAAAGTTTTATTTTGATATTCGGTTTGTCTCCTTTTGCACGCGCAAGAGCGATTTATTTAATCTAGTTTATTATTAAATTCTATTATATAAATATATTTTTACATGAGGAATCTCCCCATGAGGGATGGCACATGTTTTTTGGAACAGCCTGTATAGTGTCAGATAATAGAGAACAAGGGCACAGACTACAAACACATAAACGTTTATGTAAGCATGTGCATTTCTTATATTTTTACATGTATATGATTCTTTAGGTTTACTTATATGTGTTAGCAGCGGCCGTATGCCCTTGTATTCTAATATCCGCATCATATGGGATTTATTTTTTTTTGCCTTAGGTGCAATTTTTCTTTGGCTTAGTTTTTACTTGAAAATAAATTTGTTGTTACATTAAAATCTAACCTGTTGCTCTTGGGTATCTGACATGTTTGGCATTTAAAGTAATATATATATAATTTAAAGTAATATAAATATAATATAATGCATTTTTTTGCAAAAATGTTTGCCTGTTCTAAAATAGTTAATCCCGTTATACTTTTTCAAATTTCCAGACTGTTTTAGAGAAAATAAAAAAAAATATGAAAATATAGTTCAATTTTTTCAAGTCCTAAAAATCAAAATGCATTTCTATGGTAATATAATTTCGTTTTCTTTGATAGATTGTTATTGATAGAATTTTAATGAACGTCATATTTTTTGCTGTTTTAAAATGTTAAAGAAACACAACATTTATTTAATTTAATGCTACGGAAGAGGTGATAATAAAATCAAAAAAGAAACATTTTTCAAATTAAGTTTTTCAAAATTCCACTAATAATAAGATAATATAAAAAATATAAGATACTTGAGAGAAACAGGTTAATTTAAATGGGATAAATCGAGAAAAGTCCTATAAGATGGAGAATTTATCTGATACTGTATACGTATATAGTATATTATATAGAAACTTTGCAACTGAGTTTTAGTGTCTGGATTGAGTCCTAAATATTGATTGTTGTAGGTGGAAGGCCATATACATCAATATTAAAACAAGTAGGTGTTACAAGACAAGTAGATTTGACACCAAAAGCCAAACACATGTATAAAAGAATTATTAATATGTCAGCAAAAATTTGCAATTCACAAAGAAGGATTACATCATATCAACAAAGGTTAGCTGCTGCTGAAAAGTTCTCAGCTAGGCATCACATGCCTGAAATTATGGAGAAAGTGAATGACCACACTTACAGATTTATTTCATGTCAAATTCGAAACCAAACTTTGCTTCCAAAAGCCAGAAGATATACATTAGAGGAAAAAATACTGGCACTTACATTTTTTAAATCAAGTGGAAGAGCATACAAATTATTGTCAAAAATATTTGCTTTACCTACAAGAGGAACACTGACAAAATTATTAAATCGTTTACCGTTCACTGCAGGAGTGAATGAAAATCTATTCAAAACATTACAAAGGTCTGTAAGAAAAATGTCACCTAAAGAGAAATACTGCTCGTTAATATTTGATGAAATATCACTAAGTACAAACTTACAGTACAATATAAAATATGACTGTATTGATGGAGTGGTGGACGACGGTAACTACAGATGTGCCTCTTTAGCCGACCATGCTAATGTATTTATGATTAAAGGGATATTTAAATACTGGAAGCAACCGATTGTTTTCACCTTTTCCAACGGACCTGTGAAATCAATTAATTTAAAAAATAATATTAAAGAGGTGATTGCTGCCTGCCAAAATATAGGCCTTCAAGTTATTTGTACAATTTGTGACCAGGGGGCTACAAATCAGGCAGCAATAAATTATTTGTTAAAAGAAAGCACAATAGAATCACATGGATTTTTTGTGAATAATAAGGAAATCATTCCACTCTACGACATTCCACATCTTTTTAAAGGAATTAGAAATAATCTATTGACAAAAGACCTACATTATTATAAGGCTGAAAAGAAATGTATTGCAAAATGGGAACATTTAATCAAATTCTATCATCTGGATATCCAAGAAGAGAATAGAATATGTAGTAAACTGACAGACGAGCACATCATTCCAGGCAAAATTAATAAAATGAAGGTGAAGAATTGTACACAAGTATTTAGTTATCAAGTGGGCAGTCTCTTGGAAAAAATCGCAAAATGGGGTAAGTTGGCAGTGCCTAAACACATATTCGTTATGTAATCATATTTATTTTTCTAGGAATATCTGACATCCCACAAGAAGCCCTGGATACATCATCATTTATTTTATTTATGGACAAGCTCTTTGATAGCTGTAACAGCCATACAAAAATGGCCTCAAAAAGCAAACCGATAAAAGGATCCTTAAAGATGAATTCAGATCATGAAACATTTTGGCTACAAAGCATTGATGTTTTAAGGACCATGAAGTTTTACGATGAAAAAACAAAAGTTTGTTATAGTTCCTTCTATAAAAAATTTAATTTTTACATTACAAGGTTTCATAAATTTAAAAAAGAAAGTTCTTTCTAAATTACCGAATGCATACATATGTTTAAGAGATTTGAATCAGGACTGTTTAGAAAATTTTTTCTCGTTAATTCGCAGTCACGGTATAAGAAATACTAATCCTTCAGTTTGTCATTTTCAAAAATCATTTAAGTCATTGATTATAAATAATTTTATGGCGTCACATTCGCCACATTCCAATTGTGAAGATGACAAATCTGAAGGATCATTAAGTAATTTTAAATCTTTTTTATTGGGTGAAACTGAACATGATGTATCTGTGATTTAGAATTAAATAATGAAAATATACAAATATTACCGCCCTCGTTATTAACTAGGAAGACAAAAATATCCCGTTGTATTTTAAGATACATATCGGGATATTTAGTCAGAAAATTGAAAAAACATACATCATGTCCAATTTGCTTACATGTTATAAGCGGCAATGTGTCAGACGAGGACATTGATTTTATTATTGCAAGAAGATATGAACAGTCATGTCTACAAATTCCTTCAAAATTATTTACATATACTGTGGCACAAATGTTGAGCCACATATTTTATGCCTTACCAAGGGTTTGTAATAGTAAAAATATATCATTGGTATTACATAATACAATTAAAAACATTCATACAAAATCTTTATGCTGTAATCAACATCCTGAATTTGCCAAAAAAATTACACAATTAACCATCAAATGTTGTATTTATTTTTGGTGTCGAAAAGTTAACCTAATAGCGACTGGCAAAGACACTAAATTTCAGAAAGCTTTACAGAAAGTTTCTGATTTAAAATTGGTTGATCCAATAAAATTAATGGCCCTTAACAAATTTACAAAAAAACAAAATAGGTACAGAAAACTTAGAAAATGATTCTCCGATAATTGTATTATGTACTAAAAATAAAATTTCTAAATTGTATTTTGTAAATACTGGTTATTTATGTATAAAACTGTTAAATTAATATTATAATGTTAACTGAGTATAATCAAATAAAATATATTACACAGTTGTTAAGTTTATTTCCTTCCTTATGTTTTGTTTGTTGACATATAAATATGCTAACGCATTATTTCATACAATTTTGATCTATTTATTAATAGGAACAATGTGTGAATTAATGAATTAGCTTATTTTATATGTCAACAAATAAGTTGAACTTTAAAATTCAGAAAATTTTTAATATACGTTAATTTGAATGTGCCGCTATTCCACTATAGTTCCGAGTCCATCCATTGGCGGCGCTACATGCAACAATTATTCAAATTGATTATGGTTAGATGTCACTCTATTTGGTGTTACTTTATGTTTAGACTTGAGCACGCACGCACTGATCCTCCGCGAATGCTCAAGTGTAAACGGCTGTGCGCGCACGCTCTGAATCTGCCTGTGCGCGAGCAGCCGCGAACGCGAGCCGTCTGGTGTCGGTTTTTGGTCCGTGCTCAAAGGGATTTTATGCGTGCGCGAACGCTCACTTTGCACCGGCAATTTGTTTTGTCTGCGTTTGTGCCTGCGTGTGTGATTTTTTTTTCGTTTTCTTTATTAAAATTATGGAGTGGATCAATGAATCTTCGTTATTATTAATTGAAGAATATGAAAAGTTGCCTATATTATGGGATGTTAAACATTCTTTGTATTATTAAAAAATAAAAAAAAAACGCATGTCAACATCTTGTAAATAAAATTAATATTGAATATGTCGATATTAATGAAATTGCTATTCCGAAATTTGTATCTTTTGTTCGTAATTTTTGGTGTTATTAAATTTTGTAAATATTCAAAGTCGGGTCTGGTCATTCTTGTAAAGTTTTTGAACTGATCATAGCCCTCCTCAGACACTAAGTTGTTGCAGTAAATTATATCGAATTCTAAAAATTTGGGTTTGCCACCAGCGACGATGTTTTCGATTTTTCTGCTTTTTAATTAAGCTGTACATAACAATGACTGCAGCCTCGACTATTTCTTGGTCGTCCATTATTTTCGCCAACACAACTCTGCTGTGCACGCACAAATGGATCACTTCATTCGTCGAAAAATAAGTTTTTAATTTGAACGGAGCCGAGAGCGCGAACGAATGCCGTGCGCGCACGCTCAGCTCGTGCGTGCTCAAGTCTAAACGCGCCATAACGATTTTTACCAAGAGATATCTTTTACGTGAAAAGTCACGGAAATGTATATATTTTTTCACTCAGTAGTTTTATACAGGTTCGGACGAAAATTTATTACTCTTCAAAACACTTAAAACACATATAGGTGGCGTCCTCTACTATTACGAGTCATACTGACATCAAAATCAAATTTTTCATATCAAAAAACTCCCAGATACCAATTTTCATTCAAATTAAATACTGACGTTACTTCAGAAATTATTTGGAAAAAATCGAAATAAAAATGAAACTTCTGCACTCTGTATCTCCGAACTAAGCATTTTAGGACATACATTTATACGAACTTTTTTGCTTATTTTTATCTGGAAAATATACCGCCAAATTTTCCAGAATACAGTTCGGACAACCCTGTATATATTTTTAAATTTCGGTAAGATTTTATTTATTGTAATATAACTAAACCATTCCTAACAATTTCTTGTTTCTTTTCCTTCCAGGGACCCCATCGACAACGTGGGAGACACCATGCTGGACATGTCCCTCACCAGCCCCCACCAACTAACCGCCGCTACCTCCATTTCAGGCCACTCGCACGCCCATCCCATGACGTCCCTGCATCACGTGACTAATCCCATGCTCGATCACACCATGAGCCATATGGGTGCGCCTCTGGCTCCCTCGCCAGGCTGCGGCGGAGGGCTGACCGGTGGCGGTGGTCAGCCGCTGGTCATCAAGTCGGACTACGGGCTCACCGCCTTGTAATGGTAGGGGGTAGATGCGTTTAGGATATGTTGTAGGTAGTGTATAGGGTAATGGTGTGGTAGTGTGTTTTGTGTGAGTGTACAGTGAGCGAATGAAAATGGTTAGAAATGGCAAAGATATTCAGAAAATTACGAATAGTCTAAGAGCTGGGTAAATAAAAAACCTTATCATCGTTACATGGCTAATTTTTTGTGTGAAGTATCCTTTTATGTAGCCATTATGAAATAGTCATGTCTGCCAGCGCGATCCCGGGACATAAACCCAAGTAGCATTTGGACGTTATCTAACGTCGTGTATACGTCGCGTTTAATAAACCCGACGTCGGGTACCAACGTCGGTTCGACCGCCTGACGACTCTTATTTGCCCCTAAATGGGGAATACAGATTCGGGTCGCCTCGACGTCGGTATCTGACCTAATAGGGAAAGTAATTCTACCAATTACCAACGTCATATTACGTTGGATTTTAGTCACTTAAAATTCGTCGCTAAGCACTTACGTTACGTTTGGTTTCATATTCGCTACCAAGAATACATAAAAACCTAACCAAACTACTTAATTACAAATGGATTCATAGTCACTCCTCGAATATAACTATAAGTGCCTATCTAATTTCATATTATAATAATTCTGAATCATTAATCCAGACATCAGTTTTGTCAACGGAAGTCACTTTTTTGATATATCTGATTAAAATACTCCGGAAAACAACAAGCGCCTTCAATATTAGGTAGATTTATGAAATAAAAATATCTATAAAAAAGTTACTCGCAAAATATTTTTTTAATTTTCTAGCTGGTTTAATCATAAAACTGTACTGTGGTTCCCCCCAAACTCAACCTTATCAATATTATTCTACTAGAAATCGAAATGTGAATATAAATTTTAAAAACAAAAACGATTTTAAAATGGCTGACAATCGGATACGTGTTAAGAATGGCGGATTTCTGTGTCCGACTTAATATGAACTAAAAATATACCAATTCCGACCGGGTCTCCAACATTAGTCGTCTCACACGACCGAAGTCATCAAACCGGACGACCGGCAATCGTATTATGACGTATATAATTTCAACGTAGGCCACGTAACCTCACTTTGCGTATCAGTGATTTGTGGATTTGTACAACTATATTTTAGTTTTTGTTTTCTCCTTAAAAAAATGGGCAGCCACTTTTTTAAGTCTAACCTCACATGTGGGAGGAGGATGGGGTCTGCTGGTTTCCTAAGCTAAAAAATGAAATTAAGATGCACCAGTGTAATGCAGCATCTCTTCCGGATAAAAATCATTTATGAGTGGAGGCAAGACATCACTACTACTATTATTATTTTGCAAAAGCCTCGACCTCTTTCTGTAAAATCTAGATGAATGTCTAAATGCCTTTTTAGTGTTTTTTTAGGCATAAGTTTGTTTACAAAAACTTTTTATTAGGTTATGTTCATGATGTTCATTAGGTCGCAAATGCTACTTAATGGGTTGTATTTACGGACGTAAATAGAGATACGTAAATTAGGTTATAAATATGAACATAAAATACAACAAAATATAATTGGACGTTACTTTAGGGATTATCAGTGAGACGTATCCTATTCGGACAACGGGTAGACGTTGGGCTAGTTCAAGTATATGTACGTCGTGCAAGCCAACGTGGGAACGACGTTGGGAAATTAATAAAAATGGTACGTTGTTATTTTGTACGTCGACAGATCGTTGGATTTACCGACTCGGATCCAACGACGTCGCTATTAATAGGAAAGCGACGTCACAGGTCGTATCACCAGCACCCGACCTAAATTTGCACAAGTCTGACGTCTCTTCAGGTCAGATTTAGTTCGAAGTCAGATAGATGCTCCTTGGGAAGCGGGGGCGGCCAATCGAAAGGGTGAAATTTTGACACTAAAAATATTATAGGATACATGAGTTATAATTGCGAAAATAGCTTTTATTTATTATTAACAAACGTGGAAAATTGTTGGCAGACATTTTTCTAGTCGCTAAAATGCCGACAGACAACGCGACAAAAGGCTTGAAATTTTAAAAATTATTATAAAATGAAATTTGAAGAATGAAAAAAATTATGGCATATTTGCATGCCGATTGGTGAAATGTCATATTTATTTATTTTAAAAGCCGTATGCAAAAGGGCAGACAAAAAGATCGTGGCTCAATCAGCTGCAGACAGTTATCAAAAGCGCGATATTACTCTAGCGCTTTATTCGGGGAACGCTGGCCACCTCATCCATTTAAGTATAGATAAATCATATAATATACGATTATATTATAAATGTATTTTTTTATTATTTCAATAACGATTTTTTTGTCTGCCCTTTTGCATACGGCTTTTTAAATTAATTAACAATAAACATGACATTCCCCCAACCGACATGCATGTATGCGATGATTTTCTTTTGTCAAAATTCTATGCCTCTTTCGCGTTGTCTGCCGGCATTTCACGCCACCAGAAAAATGTCTGTCAACAATTTTACACGTTTCCTAATAATAAATAAAAGCTATTTGGCAATTATAACTCGTGTACCTTATAATATTTTTAGTGTCAAAATTTCACCCTTTCGATTGGCTGCCCCCGCTTTAAGCCCCGGGATCGCGCTGGCAGACATGACTATTTCACAATGGTTACACAAAAGGATACTTCACACAAAAAATTAGTCATGTAACGATGATAAGGTTTTTTATGAAGCTCTCGGTCTAGAAGTTCTGTATCACGGTGTATCACGATAAATAAATAAAAACTATGGGCATTCTACTGCCTTAAAAAGTCATGTTAATTTTCTGAATATTTTGTTTTCTTCTATCATTTATATAAATAAATAAAATTAGTTTTTAATTAGATTAGCCATGAGTCCATCGGACTCATTCTGTACATAACACAAAAGACGAAATGGATATTAAACAGGTTAACTGTACAAAGATATTTATAATAATATTTGACAATATTCTTGTTGTATTATACATAATATATTACTCTTAGGCTGTAAAACAAAACAAAAAAATATACGTTCAAAATTCTAAAACCATAGAGAAATTTTTTTGAATTTGCTTTTTTCAAATACTTAAATCTGATTTTGTTGAAAATTGAAAAGAAATTTTATGTTGACAGTACGTATTTGAAAATAATATAAAAATATAAAACTTTATACCATTATTATTACAGTCATTTACAAATATTAAAGTTTTCTTCTTGGTTTATTTTATATACACACAGAAACAAAAAATAATATAAATTATTTTATCGTTCATAAATATTTTTAGAAAAGTATCATATAATTTTCAAAATATTTATTAGGTTGAAAAAAAAAACGAAAATAATTTAACCTCTTGTGGTATTATTAATTATTTATTTTTTTCCATAGCAACTGTTAAAATTACCTTATATCTATCAAAAATAGTAGAAAAAATAGTACTTTAACAGCGAGGATAGATTAAAAACTTTATTTCTCCTCGCACAGTTTTTAATTGCTTCCATTTTTGAAAATTTTTGTATTCCTTTTCAAAAGTTATTCGGGATTTAAATGGAAGTAGTTTGGATATGGCGTTTGTCTCCTCAGCCTGAATATCTGTTGATAATTTACTTATTTCGTTTTGATCAACAATCGACACTAAAGTGAATTAAAAAATGTTAACGCAAAACTGACAACTAAAGAGACAGCTTTATTAATTTGTCAAATTACATAGAAACCAACGCCAATCCAGCATAATATTTTTTCTGCTCGTAATAAATTCCTTGAAATAATAATTTCTGAATATTTTTTAAAACGTAACTCGCTATGGAAAAAAATATTGTTTTATACACGACGATAAAATTGCATTATCGTCTCCCGAAATTAATTCACTCGCGATTTCATCGCTTGTGAATTAATCTTTTCGGTCAACGATAAAATACCAGGCTTACAAGAGTAACGATAAAGCAGATGAAATGACCAAAAAAGACTCATCAATGCAGTGTTGCCAGAACTTTTAGAGCGAATTTCCTCAACGGAGCCTTGAAACACCTTCATATTCTTCACTACAAAATTCCAGACCTTCTGAAAAATCACCAAATTTCGTGTATTTTATCCATTTTATAATTAGGAGAAAATTTTTAAAAGCTTATTTTATCGTCTTGTATAAAAAAATAACTGATAATCAAACGGAATATGAAAATCACTTAACAATAATCATTATAGATCGGTCAATAAAATGCATAATTTTTCTGGTTCTTATTCTCTTTCTTTTCCTAATTTTGTTTTGTCCGTGTCTATATGCTATCAACATCAGTCATAAATAAAAAGACGTTATGTAGACGTAGAAAAATTCATTAATTCGTTAGTTTAGTTGATGTTTCCGTTTTCTTTTAAATATCATTTATGTGTTACAATATACAAAAAATCTAAATAACCTTTAAATAGATATTTATCAATTTTGATGTATTTCAAAGTTTAATATATTTTGTTCTACTGGGCCGATTTTGATGATTCTTTAACCAATTTGTAGCTAAATTATTGGGCTTTTTAGTATCTCCTTCTAAATTAAAAATGGAAGTTTCCATCTGTCAATTATTCGAGGGAAAACACAATGCTGATATTTTGGTGAAAGTTTGAAACACTCTGTGGAATATTTTAACAAAACAAGGATTTTAAATAGTATTTTAAACAACGAGTTTCGAAAACGACGTTTTTCACACGATTTCGACAGTTTGTTTTGGACAAGTCGAACGAGTGTATAAAGAAGTTTTCGAACGAGTTTTTTACGCCATTTTTTCTACGACTACAAATTAGCAGCAGACTCACTCAGTTTTTGCCAGTTTTGTGAAATAATTTGCGATGTAATGATGACACTTTTATAACGGCTGCGTTGCGTTTGGCGTTTCAGCTAAACATTGGAGATTAAAAATGTTAAAATTGGCACATGTCGTGTGCAAAATGACACATGTCGTGCGTTAAATTCTTAGCACACAACAGTTTGCAAACCGCCAATTTCAGATCGAGTTTTCCGTGTGTCAAACTGCATTTTCTAGGCTAGTCGTAGAAAAAATCATTTTACCATCTAGGTACGTCTTTTCTCGAAAGTTTGTTTTTTGGTTCATCTCAATAACTTTATTTTTATTGAAGATATTCGTTTTTGAACAAGACAGTAACGATTTACAGCAATTTTAGCATTGTTTTTAGATCTTTATTACCTTTATTTATAAAATAGTGTTTAT